AAATATATATTAATAATTTTTTTGTAATTTACTTTTTTTGATGTCATATACAACATACAGCCATTAATCATTTAAGATATATTGTTCTCACTAGTAATAAAATAAACAAATGTAATTTTTATAGAGATAAATGTTCAGTCATTAAAAGGTTTTGAAGATTAATTTAATATGATTAATTAATTAAGCATTTATTTCATTAAAAATGGTTGAATTTACTTTAAAAAATAAAAAAATTGAATTCTTACATGATGATGATATGTAAGTACTGTAATTGTAATTACTGCAAGTTGTGGAATGAGAAACTTAAATATTACATCTTATAAATTTAGACTGTGTGATAAAAGTAGTGCCACCGATTGCATGGCACTACCAATTATCCAATAAATTATTTTAAGAAAAAGATGACTGTTAGTTTTAAACAGTGGTGCCACAACACCACACCTGTGTGTGCTCCTCTTCCTTCTCCCGTCTTACCTCTTGTGGGTCCTGTTCTCAACCATGATAATTTGATAAATGAATTGGTGGATATAACAGTTGCAAATTTCAGTATATAGGCATATCTCTGTTAACGTTACCTCTGGTAATGAAGCTTCGATATAATGAAATTTCTAATCACATACTCCACATTATAAGTGTATCTGTTTTAACAGTTTTGCTTCGTTAGAATAGTTTGTTGATTACACTGCATAAGGTGTGTTTCAGTGTACTGCAATAAATGAGGTATGAAGAAAAGAATAAATTGTACTAGAAGAAGAAAATGACATTCAATAGATTAAAAATGAAGATGACTCAATCAATAGGTTTTGGAAATATGGACAAAGAGGATGTATGAAATTTATTCAATGTAAAAGATAATGGTTTTTTACTGGCAGATTTAGAAAAACTCATTAACAATGAAGCAAGAGAAAAAAAATTGAAGACAAAATTAAAAAAATTCCTACCAAAAAAATCATGTTGATGGCTGAAATGGTTAAGGTGTCAGCCTATCACTCTGAGGGATCCAGGCAGTGGCATAGCATGGGTGTCAGCCGCCCAGGACAGAGGAAAGTTTTGCCGCCCCCTTATTTAGGTATCTCAATTTAAAAGACTAAAATTCAGTTTCATCACAGAATAAGTAATGAAAAATTTTGTGCTCATTTCAATTGGTCCGAATCGTGGGTGCGACAAAAATATGAAATGAAATGGTTCAAATTTTTACAAGATATTATTATTGTTGTAAAATTTTAATTCGCCCCCTAAAAGTGCCGCTCGGGGCACTTGTAGTGGCGGCCTGCCCCTTTCGCCCCACTATGCTACGCCACTGGATTCAGGATTGAATCTAGGCAAGCAACTCTTTAGGAATATTTTTGGAGGCAAAGGATGGAGTCCAAATATGTGGTGCTCATTCTATGCCTCCCAAGCTGTACCTATTAGGGCCTGGCCAAACACAATGGGTACAATTAAAGTCTTTTTAGTGTCCCACAGAGTAGAAAGAGACAAAAATATATTTAAATTATGCTTGTAAATTATTAATTATATACTACTTTTCTTAGAGCAAGAAAACTTTTTATGACACTGAATGATTTTGCATTATGTGCCCTTCATCAGGACTGGCTCTTCATCAAAAAAAAAAAAATTGAAGAAAATACCTTGATATTAATGGTTTCTTACACCTAAACTAAGATTAGATAGATAAATCTAGTATAAACAGTAGATAAATTAGTAATCTGGTATCTTCTGTTGTATTTTCTTTTGATTTTTAATGAGAAGGCATAACGTGAAAAACANTATAATACTGTCCAGACGATAGAAATCTCTCCGTAGCGTGGCGCTACGGACGGCGGGAAAGTAGTTCGGCTGCCCGATGATGTTTGAGGTAATTATAGGGGGTTTTTTACTGTTTTTTACGGATACTGTCACAATTTTTTTGCAGTTTTATAGGAATCATAATTATTGGGACCGTAATTATAGGGAGGTAGACTGTATGCATTTCACACCACCCCCTCGTCACTTAGACTAACCCTACGACAACAAGTCGATCGCGACACATTTTTAAGATAAAAAGTAGATCTTCTGTACATAAAAGTTGGCCACCCCTGCTATACAGGGTTAAGTATAACTTGTTTACTTAAACTTTCTTTTTAACTAGAACTTGTTATATTGAAGGGAGGGAACCTACATAATCAGTGAGACAACAAATTGTATTAAAAATTCTTTATTGCAACATTAACCTGTGTTAAAATATGTATCTTATATTTTGAATGTTTGGTTGACTTACCCTGTTGTCTCTTTTAATCCTCTGTTTTTAATTTCTTTATCCTATACCTCTTATAATTTATTGCAGATTTTAATGTCATATTCATGATTTTAGACACATCATGCCATTGAATCACATCTGTTGTACTCTTTGGTAACAACATAGTAGGTAAATAAATCCTCTCTCTTTTGCATGTTATTATATACCACATATCCTCTTTTAGTTTCCATTATTCTTTCTCTGTTCCTTGCATGTCTTCACTCCCCAAAATGTAGACTTTTTTGAATTTCATTTGTATACATTAAGATATGTGCTTCCAGTCCTTTATTTTATATGTTGAGTATAGCTTGTCTACTTGGAAGTCTAAGTAGTCAAGTTCTACCCAACATATATAGGGTGTTTCAGATATGTTTGACCAAATTTCATAAACTTATAGGGGAGGAAAATGTGAATAAAAATATTGAGTCATGTTTTGATCTGAAGCTTAATTAGTAAGTTATTAACAAAGAAATTGTGACTAGTAAATGGATTTAATTACTGACACATTACATATATAGACTTAAAATACAGAAATGATGTTGCTACACGTTGTTGCTTTAATAATTTGCTGATTAAGCTTTGCATAAAAAAAGTCTCTAAACCTTTTTATTTAGGTTTTTCACTATAATTCTGTGAAATTTGGCTAAATGTTTCCAAAATACCCTATATATTTTTAAGTGCATGGTCTTCAAAAAAGAATGCTACCATTTTAAATTACTGTAATTATGTTAATTATTGCTTGAGAAGTATGTAATGCATATCAATCAATGACTGAAATTTCTGAGTTTCATCTACCATCTGCTTATAAATGTCTTTTTGTCTGCTGCCTCTAGGAAGTGCTGTAAACAAAAAATGGTGATTTTGCAACAGGAAGTGTTTTGTGTTCTTCAGTGTGCAGTCAGAATCACTCATCATTTTGCAGCATGATTTTTCGATGGTTTTTTTGAGCTTAGAGCAGACATTTCAAAGTGATACATCATGTAATGCAAACTCTATTGTTGCACAATGATGACTGCTTCCTACTTTGCACACTACAAAACACAAAACATCTTCTCTGCTGCAGAGTTGCCATTTTTGTTTATGGCATTTTCTAGAAGTGGTAAATAAAAAGATGTTTTGATTGCAGATTGCTGATAAAACTTGAATAGTTACTCTATTGATTGATATGCAATGCATACTTCTCTGTTAATAATAAACATAATTACAGTAATTTATAATGGTAGCATTCTTTTTGGAAGACCCTGTATATTAAGGGTGTATATGCAAATATTACTCAACTTCAAAATTTATTAATGTCTTTAAGAACCCTTATGTGAATTGTTTTTGTATGTTCAATGCCAGCTCCTTGTTGTTTGTCAACAAGCCTACATTACCGTTTTTATGAGTCTAACACTTGTTCACATTTTTCAGGTGTTACATTTGACCATTCATCTTTGGTACTTTCCAAAGCCCACTTAGAATTGTAGCATGTCGGTGGAAAAGTCATTGTTTAAGGAATCCTAAACAGAAGTGTAAATGGCTGATGTCTGATGATTTAATAAGAATATCCAGTTTATTTTACATAATTGAGATTGGTATATGTTTTAAGATGTTCAAGATACACTTCAATTTTCTTTGTAGTGTGAGAAGAGGCTTTGTCATGATGGAACACAACTTTGTCCATCTTTCCTGGGTACATGCAAAGAATGTCTCTTTCTAAATATGGCTTCAGTACATTGCTGATATAATAGTCAGCATTCACCTTAACTTTATTTGGGATTTTTATAAGAGGAAGGGTTCCTCTTATAAAAGTCATTCCACCAGTGATCATGAACCTTCTGGCCAGCTTTCATAGCATCTTGTCAACCAAGTTTTGGGACTGTTTTGACCAGGAAAAGGGTAACAGGCCTTCCAAACTCCATTGCAGTAGCTTAAGTAGAAATGTGCTTCATCCAATGTCACCATAAATTCTAATCTACCTGCTGCCAGCTGTCACTCACTTTGCAAGCATTTCTCTTGCAATTTTGTTTCTGTTCTGTGGAAAGGTGATGTACTTTAGTCTTCTGTACTTTTACTGCTTTTAAATACTTATGAATTATGTTTTGTACAGTCCTCTGACAAATTCAAATTTGATTGGCAATGTTTCTGATCCTTCAGAGATTTGGGGTAGACGATAGTTTGCAGACCATCTCAGTATTAGCTTTGCATCATGCAGGCCTAGATTTCAAACAAAGTTTTAAGTGATTTCCCATTTTCCACATTCCATCATCATTATTCGTACAAGAACTAATGATATTGCTTACAATCTTCTGACATATCAATGTAACTAGATTTTAGTGATTTAACAATCTCTCTGGAAGTCAACTCTGTTCAGAAAGCACTTATGCATGGACATCAATATCCAGATTTTTGTACGATACCATTTTTTCAAATTTTTTTTTACGCAAACAATTTTACGACATTGAAAAGAATTATGGGTAACCACAAAAAAGTCTCTTGAATTTTGGTGTTGCCAATTAAAAGATATAACACAGTAAAGATGAGTAATATTTGATTATATACTCCCAGTATTTCAAATATTGAAATGAAGTCATCCATGCTGCTGATGTTTGAGAGTTTTGTTTCGACCGCTATTATATAAAAAACTAAATTTACTGATTTCGATAGTTGTAATGTTTAATTTTTCAATTTATAAAATTTATATTTGATTAATGTTTTAATATATAAAGTTATTTTTATTTTTCAGAATTTATCATTATATGTTGCGAGCCTTCTGTACATTATAGCAAAAGAAACGGCGATTCCTAATAATACTAGCTTTTTGAATATAATAATAGAATTAATACAAGGAGAGAAATTATCTTCATTTGAGAAACTGCAGAGTTTTAATAAAGATGCAGATGGCATGATCAGAATTCAACATCTATTTGTAGAAGAAAATTATAATGTCTTTGATCATTATTTGGTTGGTTTAATAGTTGTTTTTATATGATTTAGTGTAATTTTATTTATATCTTTTTCTGTTGTTGTTAATTATTTTATATTTTAGGCTTGTGACTTTGCATTAGAAAGTCTCTTAAAATTTGTTGCCAAAGCTCAAGATGATTGGTATAAAAAGAAATTTCGGCATCTTGGTGGTCTGGATATTGTCGTTGATATAGGTAAGCAAAATGGAATTAGAAAAGATAATTAGAACCAGATGGAAATTGGTTACTATGCTGATAGACTAGCATTCAATTTTAGGTTGCTTCTCAGACAAAGATGGCAAATGCAATCCTGGTTTATCTGAAAGACCTTTAAAAGATATGTTGACATGCAAATATTCAGGAGCCATCACTGAATGGGCAGAAAGTTATTAAAGTGAAAAATAAAGTAATGCAAACATGAAAGTTTTATTGGTGTACAGAAAATGTTTGGATGAGTAAAATATTCATTTTCTTCATTTTTTAAGGTCTTTGGATAAACAGGTTTAATTTTGCTGCTTTGTTCCTAAATAGTGGTTCTTTCCTTCCAGAAAATTTCATGATCTTTTGTCTCAAATGTAAATTCATTCTTGCAACTGTAGTTATCTCAGTTTTCAGTCAGGCTGAACATGATAAACATGGGAAAAGATACTGAGAGATAGTATGTAAAGTAGAGTTAAAATATAAATTAATACATTTTGAAGAAAGTAATTTTATAAATTTTTTTAGTCTTTTCAAATAGTGTGTCATATACCTATTATAAGTATTAGTCTAATATTACTTTCCACTTTAAATATTTTCTGTAGGCAAGTTTATAAGAGATTCTATGATATTTCATCGATGTAATTGTATGATAGATCAAGATTTTTGTATCGATAAACTGTAATATGCTTTCATTTATTGAATGTTTTACAAATTATAAAATGAAAACCTCTAAATTATTTAGTGAAAATTTCCTTTTTTAATAATTTATGGTTCAGAACATCATATAGGGTGTTAGAAAATCATTTAGCGTTTATATAATGGATAGTACACACCATACTGAGTAAAATAACCTTTGTAAATATGTCAAAAACTTAATTATTTTTGAGTTGTTAACAATTTTGTATATTAGTATCACAACTTACTTCTAGGTTCTGTAGTAGTTCCAATCAATATAAATTAATGTTATTTTTATTAACAAAACTGGAAATTTTTAAAATTACTACTACTTAATAAAGAAACATTCTATGTATTCCATTTATTCAAAAAAAAAAAAAAAAGGCAAAAAGGATGCACTATACGTCCAGGTCTTATACAAGATCTCAATGGTCCCATCTAAGGATATGTACTGTGTACTCTCACTAATCTGAATTCCATTTAATCCAAACTAGTTTTGTTTTTTTTGTCACCAATTATTTCATCAAAAAACAAAAGGAAATAAGACTTTTTTTAAAAACACAATAAATTTCTTAAATATGTATCAAATGTAGTATAAAGATTTGCAAAAAAATTATATATATATTTGTCTTTACTCCTATTGACTTCCTTTTCTTTACATGTAACATTCAACTAATTAACTTTTTGCTAATCCAAACAATCCTGTATATAGATTGAGTTAGCAAGAGTGTATTGTATTATCATTAACTTTATTAACACATATGTAATAATGTTTTATAAAACTATCATAGTTTTGAATGAGTAAATTTTGATTTTATTTTATTTATTTTCTTTCTTTTTTACAAATGTATGATGAACTATAGAGCACTGTTTCTTTCAGAAATATTAAGTGATCAGATATTATTCACTGATAGTAAGATGGTAGTATATATAATTCTGTGATATTTAAAATTTTTTATGTCCTCTTAATATGCCTTCTCTGTAGGTAAATGGTGCTGTCAGATATTGACAACATATAATCATGCATTTAAATAAATTTGTTTTGTAAATAAAAGAGAAAATTTTGTTTGTTTGTGGTAGCATTTTTATGAGGGTTGTACTGAAGCTAATGCAAAAATGAGCATAATTTTTTTAAAGTTAAGCCCACTTTTGAATTAGTTTTGGTACAATTCTCATATTTGCATAAAGCCTTTGTAAACATTTTGAAAGTATTTACTTAAATCTTATTATTATTTTCCATTTGTATGTTTCTCTGAAACATAATTATTGCCATTAGAAATCACTTTAATAAATTGCATCCTAATAGCTTGCTCTATTAAGAATTACTTTTTTTTTTGGTCATTTGAGAGAGATTTCTTTTAACTTTTATGAATAATTCTATAAAATTCAATGTAACAAGTTTATACGAAGATACATAAATAAAAAAAAACTTGTTTCATTAAGAGAAAGAAAGAAAACCAATAATGATGACATTTGTAATGAAAGTATCTATTCAGCATACAACGTCAACTAGCAAAACTATGTGCAGTTTTTGAACACGTTCGATGTTTCTATTGGTGGTTTTGCTAATTTGTAATTTCCTTAAAAGCTACCAGTGTTTTTTCATTCTCCTCCCTGGTTTTTTTTCCAGGGACAAATGGCTTTGCTTTGGATGAATTTTCTTTTCCAGTCCATTTTTATGAAATTATTAGCAGTGATAGCAGGCATTGCCTGGTTGAAAAGTAATAACAACAACAAATATTAAAGGAACAGCTAGATTCTTTTATTGCGCTATTAGGCAAAGTAATTACCGATATTTAGAGACCCCCAGATGTATTGCCTATACTAATTATATTTATTTTGCTCGGATATTTATCTAGACTAAACATACGATAAAGTATCTAATAAGTGTTTTTAAATTATATTTTTCATATTATTATTGTTTAAATTTAAGTTCATTTTAAAGAGAGAAATTCTATTTATACAGAATAGCGATATTTTTTAAATTAAATGCTACAATTTGTTTATAAAATATTCTTATTTTAAATCCTAGTTAACTCTCAGTGCAAAAATTTATGGAATGAAGATGTTTCATCAAGTATTCAGATATATAATACAAATAAATTAGGAAAATGCTTAAATATTCTGCAGAATGTGAGTAAATATTTTAAACTGTTTTTATATTATCTCTAATAGGTAAATTCACAAATTTGATCAAATATATCACGTTATAATGGTCGTGACAAATCTTCAAATTGATTCTGACATGATAAAATTTTATTATATTAAATATGCAAAAGATATATAGAGTTAAAATTGTTTAAAATCAGTTCGAAAACTAGAGAACAGTTTTGTAAGAATAACGTTTATTGATTCAATAAATTTAGATGAAAGGAAGATATTACAAAGGAAAAATAAATAAATAATTACTTTCTTATATCCCAATAAACAATTTAAAAAATATATAAACATTAATCAAATGAAAATTACTTGTACAGGTTGCCTCAGAAGTAGTAGGACAATGTTTGAAATATTATGATATTAAGAAAGCAAACTTTTGTTCGTGAGTTAGATATCAAATAATCAGTCTTCAGACAATTTTTCATCTTGTGATCAAATGCACTGTCGATATTAATGTATGCTTGGAGCTACAGTATGTTTGAAGCACCATATGTCAATGTCAAGCATTGCTCTATTACTACTATTACTACACACTGTAGTAATAGTAGTAATTTTTTAATTAAACAAACTTTGCTATTTACGAGCATTTAGTTTACTTTGATGTACAAAATTGACTCATTCATTAGATATTTTCAGCATATACTTAAGATGGCAAAGTATGAAAGTATGCATAGTAATTCATAGCTATTCTGGTATTGAGATGAAAGGGAGGGAGGAAACTATTAATTTTTATAAGTATTATTATTTATAAAATAAAAATAGTGATGCAAGACAATGGCCATTTTCTCGTAATGGGGTTTTGTTGTAATAATCGTTTAAAATAGTATATTTTTGAATTTTTTTTCTTTTAACTTTGAGTAAGTTATGAGTCTTTGCCATTAATAAATCATAATAAAATTTAATTAAATTCTATCAAATTTAGTGACATATAATAATAATAAAATTTTTATATAAAAAGTATTTTAATTTAATTTCATTAATGTATAAAATTTTATGTTAATCTAAATAAGTTACAGTATATTTTAACCAACAATATCCATTAAAAATTAATAAGATTTGATAAACAGCATTAACTTTTGAAATTAAAATGGAAAAATTAACATAAATGTTTTTAAAATAGTTAAGATGATTTATTGCTAATTAATTAACCTAACATTAGAAAAAAAAACATTCTTTTAATATTAATATAGTGATTACATCAATGATGATAAAATATAAGCTGATTTAACTATTTTGTAGTGTTCTATACCAAAGGTGTAACCAATATCATTTTAAATCTCTGAAATCTTGTCTGTAATTTAGATTTAAAACTGATGAATAATAATAAAATTATTAATTATTCTGACAAATGTCTTAACTAAAATATAATATTGATACTTCTTCACTTGGCAATTTGCTCTTTTGTACATAACACTTTGATACCTTACATTTTGTATGCCAAATTTGCATTTAACCAACATATAAACAGTTTTTTCATCTCAAGTAGTAGTGTTTTTTGTTAATTTGAATATTTTTTACAATGAATATGTAATAGTTTCCTACTTTTAAAAACTATAAAATCTTTCTCTTTTTTTTTTTTCCTAGGAACAAAACTCCCTTTATAATGTGCATCTCAATAGAGTTGCATG